GGCTTTCGGTACCACTGATGTGGCCGTTTTCGGACGGGTTATTTTGGACGTTATTTTATGACGTCTAGTCTTCAGGTGTTTTCACATGCAGTAAAGTTGATCACCCTCGTGTAACTCACTTGGCATTTTAAACGAGGACAAATGTTTTCGTGTATAAGTGAACTACTATCCCGATCCTCTATAATAAGAGGTTATGTTGAAATGCAGACTCACGACTGGAGGGCTTGTGACTGAATTGTTCATTTCTCCATGTTATCGTGCTTGGCAGGAAGCATTTCTACGATGCACTGTGTAGCTAACTTCTAGTTGTCCTTCTTTCAGTACTCCCGTACTTCCGGCTGCACAAGAAAATCAGTTGCTTAGCTTGCATGACTACTCTTCTTAATGTGATGATACGGTCACCATACTTACGTCAGAATCCGCGCTACGTTTTGTTTCTCCAGACTTCATTTTAGTGTCTCTTGTCTTACTGTGTCACTAACTGTCACTTACTGACCGAAGCAAGTGATCCTCTGAGTTTTCTGTTTTTCTTTAGACAGTTAGACCAGTAGTACTGTCTATCGTTTCACCAAGGGTACTGACTGAAGAGCTCATTCCCTTTTTTCATTTTATGCAGTTTTTGCTCAGAAGGGAATGTATAACACTACATTCTCATTTTCAAACAGTCCTTGTAGTAAATATTTCCGTAGGACTTAGCTTATTTTCAATGTTCAGCAGTTCAGCGTGGCTAGAGGTATGAGGAAATCAGTTGATTTGTTCTGCAACTGCGTGTGTTATATCGTGCATACATTAGCGTGTTACCGTATATATGTTGTACTGTACCTTCGTTCCAGTTATGTAGTAAGTAAAAAAATAAAGCTCTCGACGCTGATCAATTCCGGAGGGATGTGTCGTGCATTCGACTTCATTAAGCATCGTTGGAGGTTGTCGAATTCATATCTAGTCTTTACAATGGCTCGCAGTGGCCTACCGATGTATCGAGCCAGCGCTGCTATCCTTCCAGACAAGTCTGATACCAATTTGCCGACCCTGGAGGGATGGAGGACTTGGTGCGCCAGCGGAGCGAGGATCGATCCCATGTGTGTTGCAGGGCACCTCCTACCACTGCGCCACACGCGTCCTTTCAGTTATGTAGTGGAGAATTGAATGTACATTGTCATCTGCAAAGGAAACTTCTGTGATAAAACTTTGAAAACATCTGCGTTGTGAATTTTTTTTTGTTACATTCATTTGCTTGTAATGAAAAGCCAGTGAAACCGTTGTATGTTACACTCACAGATGGATTTCATAGGTATTTTGGTTCGTATTTTTTTGTTTTTGCTTTATCTCAAGATGACGAGTTGCGCAGTGGAAGTCGTTCCATTCATCACCGACACGGTGCTAATTGGATCCTCCACTGACCCACCAAGTTTGTCATCTCTGAGAGGACGTGAAATTAGTAACACATCTGTCTGGGAGTTCACTCCCTGCAATCCACGTAGGAGTGCTCTAGATCGGCTATTCCAAGACTCAAGTGGGAATCGTCTCGGCCAACATTCAACGACATTGATGAAAAAAGGAAAATCTATAAACAATAGCCGAAGCCACACGCAAAGTTGAAAGACTTTCATGGATAATGAACGTGAGGAAGGGAATCGAATATGAGAAATGCAGGGATCCACAGAGGTGATGTGAAAGACCCTTTTGAGGTTTTGTAGAATAAAAAATAGGAATCTTGTCCTCATCTTTACTGCAATGTTTTTATTTATCCCGGAAATTTCAATTTCCTTTTGGGTTATCGCATTTCGCTTCTTTGTGGTTGAAATTTAACCCGTTTAAAGTGGAAACACTCTACTAACCTCTTACAGGTTATCCAAGCAATATGGATAGGAAATCTCGTGTTACTGTCTTTTCAGTAGTGTTGGCGTGATCTGCTTTCAGATTTCGTCAACTTACTTGATACTTGAACGGCCCGTCATCACTAGTTGTGCGGGCCCCAGCATAATCACCATTTTTCGGAGATTTGCTAGTTAAGCCATTGTGGTTCTATGGAATCCCGAGGATAGTCTGGCCAAAGTCTACCCCAGGTCGTCACTACGACAGGTAGTCGCAGCCCTTGTGGATCAGAGGGAGATTTACCATCATGCGACTTTGATACCAGAACGGTGGTGGATCCTGGTATTGGTTTACTCTTAGCTAGGCTTCCTGATGGAAACGCCAGACTCCTTCTCAGCTTGGGAGACCTTGCCGGTGGGACGAATCCTCCCGCTGTACATCGCAGTCCGACACCCAGGAACACCTCCCAGCCACGATGAGGCGGTAAACCGTTAGGAGGGATTTCGTCAACACAGAGGCTAATTTGAAGGTTCTCACCAGGAGTGCTCATAAATAGGTCACAATCCATTCCATACAAATGGAATGATAAATCTTACTCTGATGTGTCATAATATTGGAGTGTTGATTGCGAGTTTAGGAAATTCCGGCTAACAAGTGAGAGATTCGCATGGAAAACATTCTGGGTTAAAGTGACGATGAATAAATTTCGCATATATCACATGGTGGTTTCAGAATTTTCAAAAATCTTAGAAAAATCCAGATACAGTGGCCATACGTGTTGTGACCCCTACGACTAGTGAAAGAGGATCATCTAGGTATCCATCTATCTGTCGTCATGACGATGAGTTAGCATTTAAAGATGATGTTTAGTTTGAGTTATACATTTAGATGAAACATCTTGGCATGTCCGGGTATCTGCACATCTTCCACACATATTGCATTGCAACCGAAGAAATGCCTATGGCACAGTGGTTAGAGGTACACATGAGTTTGATCCCGCGCCAATGACTTACTAAGCCTTCCATCCTTCCGGGGTCGGCAAACTTGTCTGGGAGGATAGCAGCACAGACCGAGTACATCGATAGACCATCGCGATTCACTGCAAAGGTCAGATATGAATCCAATCAGCTTCAACGATGCTTGGTGAAGTCGAATGCATGGCACAATCCTCATTGATTGATAAATGACGAGAACTTTGTCCTTAACCCTTTAACTGCAACCGTCATTCACTAGCTAGGTTCAGTTCATGTGTCTTTGATTTCTACTGGACTGTTGGGCGTGATTAGTCCTGGAATCCCCATGTATTCGTACTAGACTTGATAACCAGTCTGTTGGTTTGAAAATCGTGGTTCCTGCTTAGTTATTATTATTGTTGTGCCTAACGCGCTAAACTGTGACCAACATTCATAGTCTAAGCTGTGAAATAGTGGTGTTTTTCGAACTAGTTCCTTGTAGAGGTTCAGCATTTCCATCCGCAATCTTGCGTAGCTTCGACTATGCTCACAGTTCCTTCTCGCAGACTGCTTTCCCAGCGGTTTTTGTTTCCCTCAGTTGAAGTCTCCTACTGAACCATCATAAGGGGAGATGCCAGAGGTCCTACGATGTAGTACGATACTATATTTACTGGAACTTCTACTATGTAGAGTTGTACTTGTATGACGAAAGAGCCTAGAGTTCAGTGGACCTTGCGAGTTTTTCACCTGGTTACTAGTCGTTCGTCTACAGGAATGATCGCTCCGCCTCTTTGTGAGAAATCTTCATATGTACTGTCGTATTTTTAACTACTTATAGTGCTAAAATAGCATTTTACAGATTCATCATATAATAGCCTGTTTTTTGGCTGTGATCACCCACGGGTTGGTTCATGGCGTTGAAGGCCTTGCCTATAGCTAAGCGTGAATAACTATGGGGGTTAATCGAACCTCCTACATATTATACGTTCACTATGACTTGCATACCTGGCTAACTGAGGGTTCTGTCACCAGTTCAGCTTTGCACATCGTATGTTCTAACTTCAAACAACTAATAGAATGCAGCGCAGCGACATCTGTCGGATATAATTAGTCAACCATTACATTTTTTAAAGACGGTAACCATAGACCGGTTGGGATACCACTAAACTAACCACTAGAAGAAAAAACAACCGTCGATGGACGGCGAGCGTCGGAGTGGTGACGCCACGCTTCTGCCAGCAACCGCGGTAGCAGTACTACCCGTGATCGATGGTGAGGGCACGTGCGAGTGAGTCACAGCACCCAGGCTCCGCGTCCCCCACTGTCGTCCTCAGGTCTTCTGGCGCTTCTCAACTCCATCTGCCCGAAAAGTAGGCATCTCTTAATCTTCATCTTTTTTCCCACTCGAGATATAACTATATCAAAGTTGAGGTAATGCAGCTAGCTTCATTACTTTTGCCTTGATGGAAATTTAACGGACCTAGTAGACATTCGCATTTTTAACCTAGCAGATATTTTTTAGGTTCTGGGTGGCCTTGTTTTTTGTACATGCGTGTTTCTCTAGACTAATTCATTTATTTGGTATGACGTCATCGATTTGGTTACTACTGTTGTCGTTCAATATGTCATTTTTCTGCAATGTGGATGGCGATGTCGACCATACTCATTGCATTCTTTGTCTTTACTTTATGTTTGTTTTTTCTGATTTTCCACAATATCTTTTATATCTGTGACCTGTTCCGTATTCCAAAGAATGAGTTGGGAGCGCTATGTCTGTTCCACATGGGGCTTTACCTGAGCGCACCGCACCGTCAGGGGACATTTCTATCCTCTACAACACTTCAAACGATCCATATTCCGATCGCTGTTGTTCATTTACAAGGTCTTTATATGTCCAACTAATTTTCGAAGCACCATAATCTAAACTTTTATTTGGCTGTTTTTTTCTCTTCCAAAGAAAACCAGAACGGTTACTGCTAGAACGAACAATGCTTTCGTGCACGTTTTCATGCAAAAGTCCCCATATTGATTTTTTCTATCCGGATACGTCTATTCGTCCATCATCCTGGAATGGGTACATAGGCGACCAAATCTTCTTGTAGTCGTTGTACCTTCAGTTATTTAGCGTGGTTCTGTGAAAATGTTATATACGTGGAGTTTCTAGTCAAAGAATTTTTGCAGTTCCAAGAGTGTTCCTGGATTCTACTCGTTTCGATGGTCTGAGCTTCTATCATGTCAGCTGCACAGGTGAACTGTTATGTTCGTCCATTCCATATAGTCTTACTCGTTTGTTACCACAAAAGTCACCATTTGTTATGGACAACCCTCGTTTCTAGGGTGACGTCATAGTTGGCAACGTGAAAAGTCTTGTCAATCGATTGTCGAAGGATTTTTCAGCCAGCAAGCCGCCACTTTCCGTTCAGGAATCACGGAAGAGTCGGTGCCTTCTTTTCTTGACTTCTGCTTTGCTATTCAGTTGTGTATGAAAAGCTGTAGCTCTAACGATAACATTGTTTTAGGTTTTAACCTCAAAGCGCCTCAGCCATTGCAGCATGTCATAACAACGTTTGCTTACTCAGCTGCGCAAGACGATGAGCTCTCTCTCGAGTTGGGTGATATCATCGAGGTAGCTGGTTTTCTTCGGCACTCGTTTGTTCAGACTTCGTTAAATTTTTTCATAATGTAGCATGTTGTAGGTGTTAGAAGAAGTTGAGGATGGTTGGAGCCGCGGACGTCAGTTACGTACCAATATCATTGGCATGTTCCCCACAAACTTCGTGAAACCGAGCGGTTCGAGTATCAGAAGAGGTTTTTCATTGTTCGAGACTTTCATTCAATAAAATTTTCTAGTTTCTTCGTCAACAATACGAGAAGAGGAGAAAGTGGTAATTAGAGCACCAGTGAATGCCGATCAACCGGAGGCGAATCGGCGTACCCCTTCGGTTGTTGGAGGGGTGAATACCGTTGCAGGGAAAGCTCAAACTGAGGTTAAGGATGAGCCGAAAACCAAAGGTGGTTTGGTTTTGTATTTCATCTTTTGATTGTGGTAGGTATTCGAGTAGTTAGTGATGCAGTTCATTGAGAAGTAAGGTTCTCGTTCGACCCCTTCGCCAACGCTCTTCTCCAATCCACGTTGGAACTTCTCAGCTTGGCTATCTCCATGATTGCAATGAGAATCGACACGGCCGGCATTTTACGACATTCACAAAGAAGACGAAATCCTCAGGCAACAGCCTAAACAACATGCGAAATGTTCGAACACCTTCCATCTCACGGAATAGACTGCTACGGATCTTCATCTCTGCTGCAAGCGTCTTTTTTCATTTACTGGTTTTCTCCTCTCCGCATATATTGGAGATTAAGTGTCTCAAGAGAATCCGCAGTTTGACCAGTCAGTGATGAATTCGTCATTATCATCTGTATCCTCAACCTCATCATCGATGATTCACATTCAAAAAGAGTACATGCCGTTCCTAGTGTTTCTGATGTCTTCAGTTTCATATTCATTATCGTTAATCAGTTTGTCAAAATATGAAAAGAATTCTTTTTTAACCAGTAGTTGACTAATATTTCCTTCCGCCATTTTATTTAATCGTGGTTGTAAGAGTTGTAACATGTTTTAGGAGTTATAACAGTAACAAGTACAAGGAAATCTGCGGGTTCAAGGATTCAATCTGAGTAAAAGCTTGGTCACCATGCTTTGAAATCAGCCATGGCTGGTTGCGAAAGATTGCGTGTAATATCTATGGCATTTTAACATTATAAAGAACTGATGATTGCTCTTAAGAGCTACAGTTATCGCTAATAACATTTGACGCATAACACTAACGTTATTCGCATCATCTTCGAGTTTTAGAAATGGCCAGAGTCAAATTCGAATACGAACCTCAACATAGTGATGAACTGCGTCTTGGAGAGATCGGTCAGCTAATAACTATTATTCGAAAGGACTGTGGTGATGCTGGATGGTTTGAAGGTGAAATCAATGGTCGACGCGGTCTATTTCCGGACAACTTTGTTGAACTTGTCCAAGTAAGTCATTCTTTAGGTAGTTCTTTTGTATTCAAAACGAATAAAGTTTATCAATTCATCTTTAAATCTGCAAGGTATGGAAAATCAGCCAATTTAAGTGGTCCAATTGATTCGAAATAATGATCAATGTCATTTCGATTAAGTAGTTTCATGTTCAGGTTCCCATTAACACGCAGTCGGGGGTGGTTTACCATACACCTCCGCCGCAACATTTTAAAGTGGTGGCGAAACCTCCTATGGTGAATCCCGTAGGAATGATTCCGCCTGCTGTGCCAGCCAAACCGCTGAAACAAAAACTTTCTGATAGTTCGATGTCCATCAATGGATCTAGTGCATTAATTCCATCTACGACAACTGTAACCAATCCATCGCATGTAATGCCGTGCAATGTAAAACACCAAAGCTCTGCTTTTGCAGCAGCAAGGGATCGTATTTCGAAGGTAGGAATTTGTATTGAACCAATATTTTTGTTTGTTATTAATATCCTCTATTTTCAAAGTGCCATGTCTAGAATTATTTTAGGATATGATTATTGGGCAACCTGTACGTCGTTCGTTTGCTGAAATGAATATTTAGTAATTGGTTTCAGGATCTGATTGTTGGTCAACCGGGGCAAATGTCTTCGAAGTTGACAAAGTCGGCAATAGTCAATTCCGGAAACGAATCTGTTGTTCCTTCAAGACCTATGAGTAGTGTTGAAATGGAGACTGTAGAAGATATAACTAGTCCACTATCTCATGTAACAAAAACACGTGCTCGCCCTCCAGGAAAGCGGCCTGCAACTTTGTTGCTGAGTAAGAAGAAAGAGGCATGTTAACTTGTTTTATAAAGTAGTCGCACTTATTTTTTAAGTCCAGTAATTTTCTTTAGTCATTGGAGAGTTTTCTTGAAAGTCCAAGCAAATCGGTCTCCAATGATACATTGGAGAAAACCTCATTTGTCAGTGTCGCACCGGTGCTATCTTCTTCTGTGTCAACTCATCCAATTAAACGCGAGGTATTGGATTTAGCTCTTGATTAACAGAATTTTAAGTTATGTCATTCCAGTTTTTGCCAATTTGATTTTTACTTTAAGTAGATTAATTAACACGGTTAGCATGGATGAAGTACGAACACTTGTTAGCAGAATAGTTTATCTCTACTTCATTTTGCATAATTTCGATTAAGAGTGTTTCCTGCACAACCGTTTCATCGTGCAATAACCCTGCAGCCAAGGTACTGCCGATACGACCTCCACCTGCTGAGGTGAAGGTGGAAGAGAAAAAGGAATACATACCTGGTAAGCTGATTTCCCATTGTCGTTTGTTCTGTTGATATTTAAGTTTACCAGCTGCCAAAACACTTGGAACTTCTCAAGCGCATCCGGGTACGTCGTCTATCTCTTCTAATGTAGATGCAGAGTGGGAATACATATCTAGTAAGTTAGGTTCCTATTGTCGTTTGTTTCGTTGAATTTCATGTTTTCCAGCTATTAAAGCGACCGGAACTTCTCAAGTGCATCCGAGTACGTCGTCTATCTTGTCTAATGTAGGAGCAGAATGGGTTTCTCGTAGTGAATATAATGAGCTGCTAGCCCGGCTAGCTAGCATAGAAGCCCGCATTGAACAGCTGGAGAGGCGGTGAGGAGTCTTCTAAAGGAATGCCTTCGTCACGATAACCTAATTGGTCCTATAAAAGTTGTTTTGTCCTCTATGTGTCGCAACACTTGCAGGCGTGCAAAAAAGAAAGTTATGTTTCGTCTACCTTCCAGACTATTCGGTACATGGTTAGAGCTTCTTGCTAGTTCGTATTTTTTTGCGTGCGTTTTCATTTAGTCATCAAATGAGGTTTAGTCGATTTGGCTGTTAACTGTTTATGTCCTATTGCCTTTGTATATTTATATTCGAAGTTGTTTGCTCTGCCTTTTACTCTTCCAGTTGAGTTACAGTTGCCTATCGTAAGTCAACTTTTGTTCATATCGTTGTTTTGAAGCGTCTAACAGATTTCTTACTGTTGCCTGCTTCTGTACAGATTTCTTCTGAGTGTTTCTGTAACAAATCGAAATTGTGTGGTTTTTCCATCGTTGTCAGTTGAATTGTTCGTCATCTCCTCAGCTTGTAATGAATTGACCACTTAACAGTCTTACCGCTTAAAATTCTATTATGGCCTGCAATGTATTCACTGTCGGACTGGTATTTCTTTGCAGTACTTACTTCACTTGTTCTTTACCTTTGCGAATGTCCGGTCCATAGTCGCCTCAGTGTTTTCTGGTCGAGTCGTCACGTAGTGTTTTCTGACTCACATCTATGTCATGATTAAGCTCACAATTACTAACGTTCTTCATAAAGCTTTCGAAACTTTGATGAGGAGTCGGTTGAAAATGTAACTCGTTGTCTCTTCTATCTTTGTGCTACTAATAGTTATGAAAAGGAAAGCGAAGATGTTACCGTTCCTTTCTAAAGAAAGGGGTAGGAACTTATGTTTTATTCTTTACATTGTTGTTGAGCAGACGTGAGGTGTTATTTCATTCTTCGTTCACGAATAAGCTGATATTCCGGCTGATTTCGCTTTCCTCAGAGCGCGGAAAGGTCAAGTGAAGTGTTTAGCTCGGTAGATTGCGGTCAATTTGCCCTTCTAGGCTCTGATCAGGGCAAAACTCGTCGAAATGTCAGCATTAATCGAATAACGAGTGGACTGACTCCTCGTGTTTACTCAGGAATGTAAAGAATTATTTGATCAATGTTGTGGTTAATAGAAAGTCGGTTGTAGAGATTATGTCTTATTCTTCTTATGTGGACAGTTAAGTGCTGAAAATGCTGACATTCGAAACAACGCCGTCCATCTTGAGAGGAACCCTGTGGAGTGCCTACGGAAGCGTACACTGTCAGAAGTCTAGCGCTTTAAGCTTTAGGCAATATGTTAAGCATTTGTAGTTCAAGGTTTGTAGAGGCATTTGCGATATTTCGAGCTAAAAGATCAAGATTTGTTCCAAAGCTTCTTTGAGCAGATGGTATCGTTGTGTATTTTTATGTCTTCTGGGTTATTCTAAGTTTTCAGTGAAGTGACGTTGAGCACTAACTCACAATATCATATGTCTCAACCTTACTAAACCGGCTTTCACTCAATAGTGTGAGTAGTCAGAATACTTGCTTAGGTTGTTCAGCTTCCACGAGGTTGTTAGACATTCTGTAAGCTGAACAATCTGGACAGATACATGTGTTTTTCTCTTCATTTCTTCAAGGTATACACGTAGGGTCCGTCTATGATGAATACCACACCTCCACACTTTTTGTGCCTTTCATCATAAGAGCTAAGTATCGTTCTCTAAACAGAGTTTATTTCTTACCCACTGAAGCACTTTTTGTTCGCTCAGATGTCAATTTTGCTTTTAATCCACTCCGTCCCATCTTTTACTGGACAGCGCCAGTTTGTCTGGTCAGAATTGTTTCAGTTCTTATTATCAACTGTGTTCACAATAGTTGCTGTTGTTTTAAGATGATACATTTCATTGATGTGTGATGCTGGTATTGGTTTAGTGTGTATATTGAATGAGTACGGGTGGCAACTGTGCAGGGATATAGGCGTACACCATTTGGTTCCATAACTTGGTTACTTGGATGACTCATTCTCAATGGTTGTGCGAGCCCCAGCACACTCTCCAGTTTTCGTAGTTTTGCTGGCTTAACCATCGTGGTTACAGTAGCCCAATATCAGCCAGGTCAAAGTCTGCCCTAGGTCGTCACCATCACAGTCAGTCGCCACCCTTGTGGATCAGAGGGAGATTTGCCACCATGCGACTAGTTTGGTACCAGGACGGTGGTGGATCCTGGTATTGGTTTACTCCTAGCTAGACTTCCTGGTGGATACGCCGGACTCTTTTTTAGCTTGAGAGACCCTGCCAGAGGATGAATCCCCTCGCTGTACATCGCAACCCAACACCCAGGAACACCTTCCAGCCACAATGAGGGGGGCAACCATTGGGAAGGTATACACCATTATGTTATGTAACCAGTGACCGAACTTAACATCGTGTGAATAAATGGTAGTGGTGTATTACTAGTAGTTCGAGATTTCCACGCAAACGAGAAATACATTGACCGTGTAACTTCTGGTTCTTCTTCGTTTCCATTTCTCACTCATACTACTTGCATACAGTTGTTATCGGCTTTTGCCCAGATTATTTCGGTCTGGTGCTGCAGTAGTGCAGTCTCTTAGAAAGTCACAACTATTGCACGATCGTTTAGTTTAGGTTTTGCATAAGCGATCCTTGTTTTTATGTATATCTTTAATGTCATGTATCGCTTTAAATGTGATAGAAATATTGACATAGTTAATATTAAGGAACAGTTGAAGGGACAATGCCGGTACGAGTATGCCTAGATGATAAGCAGTTCCAAGCAGCCTTAGCTGAAGCTGGTACTAAGCCTGTTGTTGTCGATTTCTATGCCGAATGGTCTGCGTTTGAAGGAGTTTTAGCTCTCAAAAGCTTCGGATGTTTTTGTTTACGTCATGTTTATTCAGGTGTGGGCCTTGTAAAGTCGTTGCTCCAGTTTTCGAAGACTTATCCAATAAATACTTAACAATGGTTTTTGTTAAGGTCGACGTTGAAAAGTGTGAAGGTGTGTGTTAATGTTCTCTAAATATTCTTTCGATCAATTTAGTAATGTCGAGCTTTTAGAAAGTGCAGCGGCAAGTGGTGTATCCGCCATGCCCACTTTCATGATATTCATAAATGGGTTAGTCATTTTTAGAACTATACTTTTTTACGATCTTTTAAAAGAGTTGGATAATCATGGAAGCAAAATAATGCTTACTACTGCTGCACCATTGATAGTTAGGAAACAAAAGGTGTTTCGTTCTTCAAGAATCGGTTACTTGTAATTGCAAGAACTAGTTGCCATGGCTGTTTTCAAGAAACGTTGCTTTCGACTCATTATGATGAAGTTCAGGGAAAAAATGGATACCTTTCGCGGTGCAAATACCACTGCCTTAGAATCGTTGATCCAAAAATGGGCTGGGATACACTCATCAGATGTACCTGGTCAATCTGATATCACAAGTTTAATAGACAAGAAACAGATGGAATGTCTCAATGGAGATGATGCTACGCCATTGGCAGGATTTTTAGAAGGTGCGTTGAATAGTTATGGATGAGAGATTGCCAAAAATAGATAGTCGCGTGAATTTAGGTGAAAATGTGCTTCGATCGGACTGTGATGAGCAGCTGATCATATCTCTCCCATTTATCCAACCTGTCAAAGTTCATTCTATTATGCTAAAGGTAGCCCTTCTATCTCTCCTTATTGCTTTGGGTTCTGTTTTCCCAACGTTAACGTTTACACCGCTAAGGGAATTGATGGTAAAGCACCGAAGTCTGTACGAATTTTTTCGAATCTTCCTAAAACACTGGATTTCGATGGTGCGAGTTCATTGGAGGCTGTGCAAGTACTAGAATTCACTGAGAAAGCGCAGACAGGTGAATATTTACCACTTTACTTTGTTCGGATTTTCTTTTGGCAACCCATATATTAAAGGGGTGTGAGGTTGCATTTAATTCACATGCAAAAGTTTTAGAGCCAGAGGTTCAACAGTTGAAGTACGTTAAGTTCCAGAACGTCACTAACATTCAGCTGTTTATTGAAAATAACCATGATGGCGGTGATGTTCGTATTCCTACCTATACGCTGTGATTTGGTTGTTTTCGACGTACTTGATAATTTAGGTCACCGAGATCGAGAAACTGAAAATATTCGGCACGCCTTTGAGCGGGGTGAATATGAACGAATTTAGGCGGGTAGGCAGACATTTTTTTAAAATGATCTCTTATCTGCCCACTAAGTATTGTACATTGTGGAAATAAGAGTTTTCTAACCTTGTTTTCCATATCGTTTGATCGTTAGCAGTAGGGAAGAGCACCTAGGCCATGTGCATCTCAACGGTTTACCGCCATATTGTGACTGGGAGGTGTTCTTGGGTACCGGATTGGGATGTACAGCAGGGAGATTAACCCCTCCAGCAAAGCCTATCAGGCTGAGAAGGAGTTCGGCGTTTCCATCAGGAAGCTCAGCTAAGAGCAAACCAATACTAGGATCCATCACCGTTCTGCTATCAGACTGTTCGCATGGTGGCAAATCTCTCCCTCTGATCCACCACAAGTGCGGCGACTACCTGTGGTGGTGACGACTTGGAGCAGACTTTGGCTAGGCTGACCTTGGCACTCCAGAGAACCACCATAGCTAAACCAGCAAAACTGCGAAAAAATGGAAGTTATGCTGGAGCACCCACGGTTCTCCCTCAGGGATCTCGAACCGGTTAGTCTCGAGCCTACGTGTCCCCAGGTGGCGGATAGGGTGTTAATCGCGGACCAAGAGCGATCTTCGCTTCCCTGAGACGCAGGTGGATCCAGGGATGGAGTCCCTGTTTCTGCTGCGCTGATTGGCACATACTTTTTGTATTTGCTAGCCGTATTCATGCATGCGTATGTGGGTGCGTTCTTGCTTATGCGGATTGTATTCTACGAGTCAATTCGGCTAAAAGTCTGCAATCAAGTGACTGGGAAGTATATGGGAGACGGAGTTGCCTCCAACAAACAAGCTTCATGTCCACTCTAGGAGAGCGTGGCAAGCTATTCGTGAGTATACCCAGCCCTACGTTCAGAGCACAGCAAGCCATACGTAGATATCAAAAATGCTAAACACGGCAAAAAAACAGGCCTCATTCTCCTGACCTCGAAAGAGCTCCCAATCTCACACTGTTGGGTAGGACCAGTAGGGAGAGGCTGCTAAAACCAAAGGGCCAATCGCTGTCTGGATTTCAAGGAACTATGGTGACGATCTGTACCTACAATGCACGTAAACTTGCATCCGAGCCATCAGTAGAAGATTTGCTCTTGCAAGCAAGGAGGATAAGGTACGACGTCATCGGCCTGGCCGAGATGAGAAGGCGCCAGTCTTCCAACGCCGTCTATGACACTGGAGAAGAACTGTTTCTCGGAACATGCGACAGTAGAGGAGTCGGCGGCGTCGGCATTCTCGTCAACACGAATTTGTCCATGAACATCGATTCATTCGAACAACTTACAAGCAGAATCGGGCGTTTATGATTAGAAAGACGTAGATCAATTTCGGCTTTGATAATCTTCGTCGTTAACGTGCCGACATCAAACTATGACGAAGAAAAAGTCGAAGTGTTCTATATGGACTTGGAAAAGTTCTACAGAGAAGATCGCACATTCTTCAAGGTCATCATTGGAGATTTCAACGTCAAGATTGGACCAAGAAGAACGTCTGAAGAACGTTGCATTGGGACCCAAGGATTAGAATGGAACGAACACGGTGAGCCGCTGTCTCAGTTTATTATGGCGACCAAGACCATCCATGGTAACTCACAATTCCAGAAGACCCACTCTCAATGCTGGACGTTGGAGTCTCCCAATGGAGAGTACCATAACGAAATAGACCACATCATAATAAATAGAAGGTTTTGCCTAACCGATCACGCTGTTGTCCCAAAATCCTACACGGGATCAGAACATCGTCTCCTTCGTGCAAGATTATATTTCTCGCGGAAAGGAGAAAAAGCCGCTAAATTCTTAAACCGAAGTAGCAGAACCATTGCAAACTGGGACTTATTCAATTCATTTGTCGGCTGTTGAGAAGATGCCGTTGTCGATAACATCGACAAAGAATACGGTCGGCTCATTCAAAATCTTCACGTTAGCGCCATGAAAGCTGAGAGTTCGAAAGACACCAAGAGATGTTTGCTTCCAGAAACACTCGAGCTGATACGCCAGCGTGGAATCGCACGACCTGCAGGAAATCGCGAACTAACGTCCAAACTTGCAAAACAATGCAGACAGGCGATAAAAGGAGATCTTAAAGAGAGAAGAGCAGCAGTAATGGTCGAAGCTGCAGAGGCTGGGAAAACATTTGCAAAACCCACCGAAGCTTCGCCAATTACAAGACCAAAATGATTGCATTACGGCGCCCATACGGAACAGTTACAGCATCCAGAAAGGCAGTAGAGAAAATCATTCACGAATACTACTCAAATCTCTTCAATAGCCACGTCCACCTTCCGTCATATGAAATAAAGGAGGATGGATATGTTGTACCACCGGTTCTCCCTTCCGAAATCCGACATGCTATTTCGTCGATGAAAAATCGAACAGCACCAGGTCCGGAGAGGATAAGACCAGAACACCCGAAGAACCTTGCGCCAATCCTCGTAAACACACTGGCTCGGCTCTTCACACGTTACCTGTCTGAATGCAAGGTCTCTACTCAGTGGAAGGCCAGCAGGACCGTGTTGTTATTCAAGCAAGTTGACCTACACGATATCGGCAACTATCGCCCAATCTGCTTGTTGTCTGTCGTCTATAAACTTTTCGCTCGAGTCATCCTAAACAGGATTAACAGAACATTGGGCGAAGGACAGCCATGTGAGCAAGCAGGGTTTCGAAAAGAATTTAGTGCAATGGTCCACATCCACACGGTAACACGGTTTATTGAAGTATCGCGAGAGTACAAGAGACCGCTCTGTCTCACTTTCACCAATTTAAAGGAAGAGTTTGACTCAACCTGGATAGAAACAGTCATAGAAGCCTTTGATAGTCATGGAGACTGTATTCAGTACATGAAGATTCTTCGTGAGCTGTACAGAAATTTCTCAATCTAGATATCACCATTATTATTACAACGATATTAACATCGACGTTAAAAGAGAGGTTAGGCAAGGCGATACTATGTCGCCAAAATTGTTTAACGCTACGCTCCAGAACGTCATGCGAGCATTGGAATGGGATAATATGGGAGTGAAAATCGATGGTCGGTAGTTATATCCTCTTCACTTTGCTAATGACGCCGTCCTTATCACGCCAAGCATTAGCCAAGCCAAACGTATGCTTGACGTCTTTGGTAAAACCTGTAGGAAGATTGGTCTTCGAGTAAATATCACAAAAATGATGTTCATGAGGAACGAATTGGTTTCGTACTCCTCATTCACGCTCAACGGAACGAATATCTCCTAATGCTCCAGTTATGTCTAATTAGGTCGGAAAATCAACGTGTTGAAACGACTGGCTTGGTGAATTTTCAAGAGCATCGAGGATGTTGTGAGGAGAACAGAGTACACCCCACTCCGTGCCTACATTTTCGACTCAACGGTACTTCCTGCCCTAACGTATGCGTCAGAAACCTGGTCGCTGCGTAAGCAGGATGAAGCTTCACTCAGCGTTATCGAACGCACAATCGAAAGGAGAATGCTAGTAGTATCCCGTTCCACACAAGTAAGGGTTGGAATCCGAAGCTCCGATTTGCGTCAACGATCAAAAATCGAAGATGCCGTTCTGTACGCCAAACAGTCGAAGATTAGGTGGGTAGAACACCTAATGCGTATGAATGACAACCGATGGACAAGAGCCGTTAGTGACTGGATTCCTCGGGATGTCAAACGTGCTGCAGGAAGACCACTGACACGGCGCTCAGAGTTTTCATTAAGAGCCTTGAAAAATGATATGATGCTCAACGTGTTCCTAGAGCGAGCAGAACTCACTGGGCTGCTCTTGTGCGCGACAGGTAAAGATGGAAGATTTACTGGCGCCCGCTCGAGTCACTCGACGATGGATGGGACTACATGTAGTACAGGTGATGCTGGAGGACGCACAATGACTGAAGACGGGCTATCCAAGTATCGAAGTAGGTGAGTTTAAAACCTTATGATGATGTGAGACGTTTTTCGTTTACATCAGTTTTGTGTACAGTACACGCGCCCATCCACAGTAGATTTTTAGATTACTCTGTATATGTAGTCCTTTACATTCTCATATTTTCAACACAGATCGCTTGCAGGTGGCCGGCAAGAAAGGAGAAGTGGGTCACTGAGTGTATAAACATTGTCGTTGCAGTATTGCTTATGAGTTTTGTACGTATTTGTTTGGACGCATTCAGATTTCCTTGCCTGTGTTGTACTTGCGAGTTTTACTTGAAAACGCCTTCCTTTTTCACTGTTGTTGGTGAAATAAATGTTGATTTCGTAATGTTAGTGTGTAGAAGGCTTTGTAGGAGGAGGACCACGTATATCAAGTACCTCAACATCTGATGCATTCTAAAGCCTTTATAAATTAAGTCGTGTGATTATCATCTGGGAATTCTTTGCATTTCTGGTTGCCATGGTCATATTATAGGAAAAGACGAAGGAAGATGGATGTTGAACGGTTGATGAGAGACCTCAAAGTCGATCAACTGCAGGAGATACAGCGAAATCTACAGTTAGTAAAGCTTTAAGCTGTCTGCTACGTTGGATCACTTGTACCTCTCTATTTTCTTGTTGTTGTTGTCGCCTTTAGTTCAAGTTATGCAACATACCGATATAGTCTCTTTCAGCGGGACTTCTTTTAGTACTTTCTCGCGATGGTTTACCATTTTTTGTTTTTGTAGGACTGAAGTGGAAGGGAAAAAGGAAGAACTTCGTGAAATGGTTGGGCGACGGTATCGCGATGTTCTTGAGGCTTCTAGTGAAGTATGTTTTCGAATTCTACGACTTTACAATGGACATTTAATTTATGGTGCTATTTAATTTAAAAGAGGTTTTCCAGGTGAGACATGTGAGGAAACTAGCAGATGATCTTGCTGAAGCAGTTGCATGTGCAAGGACCACTCAGTGTGTTATCGAACCGAGGTGCGCCAGTGCTTCGACATTTACTTTGCAGTGGTTCTCGAATAAAGAAAAATCAGTGCAGGTCGTTATCGCGGGAGCAGCAGGCTTCGGTGCAGCGTTTCATCGCGCTACATAGACTTTTAGCTATAATTGGTGGACCAGATGGAGATGCACTGAGTGACGCATTCGCTTTCACTTTAGCTGAACTGCTTCACAAGCAGCTTACTACGGAGCCACTTCCACCATCGGTATCTTCGATATTGTATATTTTTTACTTTTTTCTTTTTTATATAACCCATCTTCACGTCTACTGTGCGGATCCCAGCACTTCTCACATTCGATTCGTTTCCTCGCATCCATTATTCACCTTGGTCTTCCAATTTTTACGTGTGGCTTCGGTTACCGCTTGAGGATTTTCATTTCACCTTGAATGTCGTAGAATGCTGGTTGAGTCGATTTTTCCTGGAACCCTGGGATAGCAGGGCTCGAGCGTACCTGATTTGTTAGCAGAGAATGGTTTTTTCTCGGACAAGTCCCGCACCAATTTGCTGACCCAAGAGAGATGAGAAGCTTTGTTGACGCGGAGTGGAATGGAACTATCACCGTGCTCGTGATAACCAACTCCGATATTATGTATACATAAGTGGAAGAGATTGTGTGTGAATCTAATTTCCAAATTGTGATCGGTGTCAAAAGTGTCTTAGACCACAAATTTTGTTTTTGCCACAGAATCTATCCTTACCTTTTCTGAAATTTGCTGACGTTGTTTGAAACGTCAGTGATTTTCACGATATTTAAGATTCATTCTGTTGTGTCTGGTCTCACTGGGCGGATAATTCGGACGCGTCGAAAACTCCTCTATGACTTGGAAGAAGAAATCGGGCAATTATCAGAACCTAATTGGGTCGCTAATCAACTGACATCGTTAGCTTTGCTTGAAGGTGCTGATTATGAGAAGCTGTTGGACATTTATCTGAAGAGCAGAGAAGTATGATCTTGTTTTCTTCTACATAGTCTTAGCATTTCTATTTATTTTTCACACTAACTTTTTATTACTTCTATGCAGGTGTTTCCTATTAGTTTTCAAAATTTAATCGTAATGGTGTTTAGAATTATATCGCTAACTTGACAAAAGAGTCTAGTTCACTTTTAAATGTCGTTACCGAGCTGAAGATGACGCTTGTAATTGTTGAACAATTATTTGCTCAAGGAGAGCTCGTACGAATAGTTCATGCGGCTGCTGTTTCAACGTATCGCCCAGGTAAGAAAATGTTTTACCAAAGAAGAAACACTGTCATTGGTAATGATGCTGAGATATTTGCAAAACTCTGGACCTCAGGCGTCTGCGCTGGGGATCGAACACGCTATTACCCCTTCCAGGGGCTAACGCGTTCACTACCACACCATGCAGGCCCTTCGTTTCGTCTATCTCTCAGCGGGTGATTGCTGATGGTATTGGTAGGTAGAAAGGTAGATCAGAGGCAGACGAAACGAAGCACCCGCATGGTGTGGTTGTGAATGTCTTAGCCCTCGGAAAAGGTAATAGTATGTTCGATCCCCACTGCAGACACCTGTGGTCCGGAGTTTTGCTAAAATCTCAGCATCATTATGGTAGTATTTCACATTATATTCTGTTGTGAAAAAAATGTAGTAGGCAGCAAATAAACGGTTAATATTGTCGCTGATTTTATTGCTTAGAATTGATCGATTCGCTCATTGCTGACGAACCATTCACATTTGGTCGTGTGCTGATTAGTGAAGCTGAAAAGGTAACTAAACAACTGCGAGAATCGAAAGCAAGTCCACTTCTTATACAAAGAATTAATTCGAAGTGTATGGACTGGACTAACAGGTCAGAGCATTCTTTAGTTCTTTGTCAGCAGTTTTCTTGGTTTTTTTACACTTATGAACGTAGGAATCGCATCGCTTTAAACTTCAAAACACAGGGTATGTGATTTTGTTCGTGGGTCGATGGTGTCGATTTGTGAGTTTTACAACAAGGCAAGCGAAATGATCGAGTTTATTAACGCACTCAGTGATGTGTTTTGCAAGGTGAGGAAGGCAGTTGTATCGAAGGCGTTTGGTGCAAATGATTCTGCAAATCTTCGTGATCAACAAGTTTTTACTTTGTCGTTTAGGATTGGCCTCGAATCAGTTGCTTCTCCACGGTCTATAAGAACTTATTCGGTGATATACTGTTTACGAAGTTTATGGTATGGCGGTGTTAATTTACTTCAGATGTTAATACTGTTTTGGAAACAAAACTTATACATTTTCATGTTTAAACATCTTAAATTATGTTTCAAAACTATGCGCTGAGCAGTTTTTTATTTCCGTTTCCAAACGTAGTAAGAGCGTTACGTGGTGGTTAATTCGACAGTGAACCTCTGGCAACTTAAGTCCTCGATCTTTCAGGAATCGACGAATTTGTGAGAACAGGTCTGGGGGGGGGGGGGTTAGAGTGGTTGATGAAACACCAACTTATTACACTGATAAGCTCTTGCAAGTCAATGTATAGGCCAAATATGCATGCAATCACGTCTATGTTTCTTCATAGAGTAGAATACTAGACATCTGCATAATGGGTTGATCCATGCGGAATCCTTTAACTTTCTTGCTCTTGTGCCTAATGTGGTACTGCTTTCTCTATGGTCTTTCAGGTGACCCAGAAGAAACAAATTATTTTACGTGGAATTTATGAGGCCACCTATTTTCCGTGTAATGTGCATGTGCTTATAGGAGAGTAGGACGGATTGTTTTCGTTGTTCTATTTAAAATCCACTGCAGAGCATAATTTCGAACGATCTGCATGAACTTGAAGATCGACTCAACTCGCAGTTGAAATCGGTGAACACCGCACCACCTCCTCTATTCGAAAAGACTTCGAACAAATTCCATCCTCTTACTGGATCGGGAATTTCATCTGCACTTCAGGAGTATCTTGTTTCTTCTTTCATTAACTTATGGCATTTCTGGATGTTTTTTTTTTCGATGTATTTCTACGTTCTACACCGGAGTGCAAAACGCTCGTGATTGTTGTGGACGCTATGAACAAGTTGAAATGGATCCTCAACCTGGCCGTGTTAAAGAGTCGTTTGCCAACGAGTTGTTTGGAGTGATTGAAAGGTATATAGTACATTTTAGAAATATTCGACTTTTTTTCTTATGCAGTGTTGAGAGCAGCTGATGAATTTCGTCGGCACCAGGCTATCCAATTTGCGACTCGTCGATGAAGATGAAAAATCTGGAAGCGAGTTATCCAGAGCTCGCTTATGTCTTGCTCTTCTCCAGTGTAATTCGGTAACATTCTGCCATGCTATGAATAAGGATGGCAAACGAATCGCTAGCGCTAGTCGTTTGCTCAGTTCAGCTGCTGAGGAATCATTGACGTGGGTTTTGAACCACTTCTTTTTTTACTTTTAGAGTTAAGGTGGCGTCTTACTTAGTATTCTTAGTAAACATTAGGGTCTACTTAGGTCGACGAATTTTAAAGCAGTAGATTTGTATGTGTTGGACAACTAGAAGTACAGTATTGAAGTGTTCTTATTTCTTGTAAAGCTTAGATCCAAAATTACTGTACCCACAACTCTTGTGTCGTTAAAATTCGATTGCAGAAATAGTAATAGTTGCATTTTTCTGAAGAAATGAAGTAGAATTGTTCGGTGGTATGTGTTTAAGATAGTAGAATAGACTAGTTGTGGTTATTTTTATAGCACTTTCTGCGTAGTTAGGGAGAATACAATACTTACTTGAACTTGAACGGCCCGTCATCACTAGTTGTGCGAGTCCCAGCATAATCCCCATTTTTCGGAGATTTGCTGGTTAAGCCACTGTGGTTCTCTGGAATCCCGAGGACAGCCTGGCCAAAGTCTGCCCCAGGTCGCCACCACGACAGGCAGTCGCAGCCCTTGTGGATCAGACGGAGATTTACCACCATGCGACGTTGATACCAAGACGGTGGTGGATCCTGGTATTGGTATTGGTTTACTCTTAGCTAGGGTTCCTGATGGGAGCGCCGGACTCCTTCTCAGCTTGGGAGACCCTGCCGGGGGGACGAATCACCCCGCTGTACATCGCAGTCCGACACCCAGTAACACCTCCCAGCCACGATGAGGCGGTAAACCGCTGGGAGGAATACAATAACTATCTCGTAATTTTCAACTCGTAGATTTCTTTTTGAAGATTATTTTTAAACTCCTAGACTCACAAAGAACTTTCGAACATTGAATTCACTGATTTGACCTCATATTTATAACTCATAGAGGTATTATCTCTAGTGTGGCATTTCCGTCCAACCATTATCTCTGAACAGTAGACGTATTTGAAGCATTTAATTTATTAGAACCTGGAAAGCTGAGTGGTGGGGATCGTGCGATAGGAACAACGTAAAATTCTATACAGATAAACCCGTTTTTCTAAACGTCGCATATATAAGATTTGGGAAGGCAACGTAATGATCACAATAATACAGAATCACAATGCGAACCTGCCAAAGAGGTAACAACAGAGTATGTAAATCTTCTAAGGCGAGTAAAAAGGAAACCGGAAACATCAACGTGTGGTTGAACTAGTGTAGTTAATGGGAAGTTAAAAGTCTAGAAAAGAAAAACGTAGTAGAGTTGTGTAGTTGTACCATGATTCAGTGTTGAATGAAGAGCATACGGGCAAGATTTTTGTCACAGTCCAGTATAATCTGACTGTGTGACGTTGTGAGCACTGTAGAGTTCACGAATTGCTTTAAGCAGATTGTTGAACGGTTTCTCAACAAATGTCCTGCGGAAATAGTATTCATACGCAAATGGTTCGGTTGGCAATGGTTGCACCGACTCCATGAGTGTTTTCATGAATTGCCTAAACATTACTTGTTTGTCAAGGGCATTAGTATTTATAGTGTTTGTATGTTAATGCGTAATTAATAAGTTTTAATCTGTAGAATCAGATCGAAACTAGCTGAGAAGAACGCAGAGCAGAACCAGCCGTGGTGAAATGTGTAATACGTGAGCCCCTAGAAAGGGTGGTCGTCTTTCGTGGTTCGATCTCGCTAGGGGTCCAAGTTTTGCGAATGCCTCAGCACCGTTATGGTTTCACATCATACCCTACCGTGAAAAATTACAATAGGCACAAAATAAAAGGTTAACGTTCTGATCTGTTTTGAATCACTACGAGTGATTTGCAATGCTTAAACTGTAACTACGAACTTTTCCGACAGTACGCCATTTCGAAAAGATTAAAGGTTACTTTCTTTACCGTGATATGAATTCCCACTTCCCCATCATCCATTTAAAAAAGGCCGCTGATTTTTTGTTAATTGGAAATGGCCAATTCTAACATTCTCGAACAGCTGGGTAGTGTACTGGAAACATATTCGCATATTTGGGGTTCATGGTTGTTATTTTTAATCGAGAAGACGTTATGCAAAAGACGTATACACACTTGTCTCGTTCTTCTTCATCCATTTCACACCATACATCAGCTATAGTCTTTAGTATATGATTTTCAAGCATTGCGTCTAGCTGAAACGACTCTATTATGCTTGCGAAAAGTGAATTCATGTTGAGAAATTCGTAAACCTCCTCCTTTTCTCCAAATCGTTTCATAAGTAAGTCACGCATAACGATTACAGATCCCTGTTTGACGTTGTTCTCCACAGCGCTGATCAACGTTCCCGGCAGAAACTGAACTTGTTACAATTGTTTTCATGGAACGTGAACATCGCCGTGATGGGCAGATGATTACCTGTCTATCGGGTAATTCGACAGTCACAATTTCGTTTGTGTTCCAGCATATCAAAACGAGACGCATTGAGAAACGGCGTTCACGCCGGCTTCGATGTTTAGCAGAAACATCTTCTGTATGCAGTGTCTCGAGAAGTTCTACAATCATACCTTTTCCACCAATAGGGTATGGAGACGATTGCAGTAGGCACCTAAAGAAATTCGACTATGTCTTCAGAAAGTCGGTAGGAATTCTTGGAGTTGGTGTGGATTTTTGAAAGTAACCTCCGCATGAAGATTATATGAAACATGGGATTTTCCTGTTTTTCTTAACAAGCGGGAAATGTAACTATGATTTTATTAAACACTTGCTGTTACTACGACTTTGTTGAATAGCGGTTATGGATATCCATAAGCATCAACAGTGTGCTGGCTAATTTTGTTAGTACGTTAAACCTCTCATCAGAAGCAATCTTACCAGCTCTGTATGTGGTCTCGAATAAATCCGATGGTGTTATGAATGGTTTCCTCGACAAGTCGAAATTCTCCCAAAAGACGGTTGTATTCGGAGGCCGTATAACCAGCATTTTCGCACCATACAAGCATGAATATAAAGAACTAAAACGTTTCCAATAAGAGATGAAACTTGCAAAATACATGATCTGACTAACCTTGTTCATCGGCATTCGAGAAAAGAACAGAAATGTACCCTCATAAACGGAAATCTTAGTGATAACACGACGCTCTCGTCGTTTCCTGCATGATCGACAACGCCACTGAAATGGCGCTTTTGGGTTGTAGATTCGTAATCTCGTACTAAATGGCTCACCACGAATCCGTTCGCATGCTTTATTAAACTCATTAATTGCTCTTTCGGACAACTGTCGATCTTGCATTCCCTCGTATTCGGAATAATTCCGTATCGAGCGAGAAACTGAATGCTGAATCAGGGAATTCAATGAGATTTAAGGAACTCATTATTGAAATCCAATTATGAGGAACTATGAGGATCGACAAACCCGCACCCTACTCGGGAATCTCGGAATATCCTCTGAAGGAGGTCAGCGTCAAAGTCGATATCGAGAATTTCATCTGGCTCGGCAACTGCGATGCCGTCAAGAATTGTGAACTTGCCTCGCTCTGGTCGACTCCTGGAAACATTGGAATTTAGTACAGTACAACTGGACAACCTTCGGCCATCATATGAAAAACGTCTTTTATACCTAATTTACACTAAAACCATGGTTGATCGCCTCATCGTGCCTGGGAGTGTTCTTGGGTGTCGAACCGCAGTTTTGGCAGAGAGATCATCGGCACATCAAGTACGGCTATCAAGAGTGAACCAATGCCAGGAATTACCATCCTGGTCCATGGAGACCGGAGCACTTTTAGTGAAGACATGGTGAGCCACCGCCGTTGCCTCGAGATCCCAGAGAATGAAAATTTTGGCCAACTAGCAAATTGCTAGTCTAGTGGAAATTGTGCCGAGTTCACACTATTCTTGGCGAAGACTGGTCTTTCATGTACTCAAATATATGTAGGATACTACAGTCTAGAACATTTAAGTGGGCGCATCATTGTGAAAAAGTAGATGGTTTATCCCTCCCTTACATTCTGCAGCAGAATGTGATGCAGAAGGAACTATAAAAACAGTTGTGTTTGTATTATATCATTTGCTTCACATGTGGAATGTTTCGCCGCTGCAAGGGTGTCAAACTGTAGTACGAAGCAACGGTTTCCATCCAGAAGGTCGGTTATGAATCAACCAATGGAATCGTCCTACAATAAGCCTAGACGCAGGGTGACCAACCACTGGATCTCGGAACTATAAAAACAAACGGATGCCTGTGGTAATAGTTTGAAAAATATCTCGATATTTGGAAGAACTTGCTCAATTTCCTCTTCAATGCTCTCGTATGTCATGCGAGTACCAGCACTTCTTTCATTCGCTTCGTTTTCTTGCAACTATCATGCGCTATGGTGATATACGTCGTAAATCGTTTTGGATACGAGATTCTTACGTGTTTCCCTCAACTAAATCCAGGATTTCGTGGATCAGAGGGAAATTTGCAGCTTCGCTTGAACTCTCCCAAAACAGCGATTCCTGTGACGGCTGCAAATCCTTCTATTAGTTGATTGGTCGATTGTAGAAAATACAAGAAGCCAACCTCCCAACGGTTTACCGCCTAATCGTGGCTTGGAGGAGTTCTTGTGTGTCGGGCTGCGACGTACAGCGGAGAGATTCACCACCCGGCAGAGTCTCCTAAGCTGATAGGAAGTCCGGGGTTTCCATCAGGAAGCCTAGTTAAGAGTAAACCAATACTACAATCGACCACCGTCCTGGTATCAAACTAGTCGCATGGTGGCAAATCTCTCCCTGATCCATAAGGGCTGCGATTTCCTGTGGTGGTGACGACCTGGGGCAGACTTTGGCTAGGTTGACCTCGGGATTCCACGGAAACAATAACTAAGCCAGCAAAATGCCAAAAAATGCCGATTTTGCTGGGGTTCGCACAATCAGTGGTAACGGACCATCCAAGTATCCAAACATAAGAAGCCAAATCCCAACCAGCAATATGAGTTACTAAAAAGCACATTAAGAAGTCACAATGTTTTGTTGTTTAACTTTCATTTATTGCCCATCTTTTTCTTATAGTAGGGTACCATGTGAAATACAACCACATGGACGCTGAGGTATGAGCAAAACTTGCAGCACCAGGTGGGCTTCGAAGCCGTGATCACCCTTACTGGGGCTCACGTAAAAATTGAAAACAAAAGAACGACAGCAGTAAAACACGTAAAAAGTAAAACAGTAAACAAATGGCTGAGGAAGAGAAAAGCAAGGGTGTCAGCTGGTATGGTAAATAGCACATGAGCCTCCACCAAGAGTAATCACGGGTTCGAAGCCCAGCTGCTGGGTTGTGACTTCTAACCATATCTCAGCACCCTATGTGGTTGTACGATTAAGAAGTCTCCAAAAATCTAGAGAAGTTTTGAATCTATTAGGTTTTTAGTAAAATACTACTTTTACATTCCTTGGAAATTTATGGGGTCAACGCTTTTTTTTTACATTTCACGGAGGAGTTCATGGGACTTATTCGTTGAAATGCTCTGTATATCGACTTCACTTTGTAACTGCAATACACAATGAAGAACACCTTCGATTCGTCAGGATCTGCTTTGGTTCCCGCTTAATTCTCCTCGGTGGCGGTCCGCCGCCATTCTGTTCCTCGACATCTGCCGCCTCGTCACTACCGGATTCCGCCTTGAAAGCGTCGGTCTGATAGCACTGTGATGTCGTCCAATCAATACAATCAACAATGCTGAATGAAAAGACAAAAAGTTGTACCTCATCAACGATTTCTTCATCTTTCACGTCTGCTCTGTTCGCAATGAAGTTGGCGTTTTTCGTTTGAAACAACGATTCAAGAATGTCCATTGACCTTAGATAAGGAGAATAAAAAAAATTGGTTAAGATTTGAACGGAACTTCAAAAAATAATACGCAATAATAACAGCCGGAGAGGAGAACTCGAGGAGTTTTGAGGTCATGGTCTCACGCTGATCGGTTACTGATAAGGCGCATTGGCCGAGCGAAATGGATTCGTTGTTTACGTTGATGGTTGGGGATGACAACGGTTAAGATGAATATGCTCCCTTGAAAGTCAACGGTCTTGAAGAGTTAGGTTGAGAAAGAAGAGAATACCAAGGAGGTTCAATCACACGATATGTTCACTTTGTTAGTTCATGACAACACGTTTCGATAAGACATTACAATGCTGCGAATAAGTGGAACCCTAAGGCACCTCGAGGTAAAGGTCCCACAGTACGTGCCTGTGTATTTTTAGGCTACGTTACATGGTTTCTGTCATCACACTGGCATGCCAAATGTGTTTGGTCGAACATTTCTGTTTGCGCCGTGTTTTACAGTACTTTACGGAGCTGACATAAACATTGGTGAAATTATGAGCTGCTGAGGAACAAGGCCACAATGCAAATGATAGTACTATCAAGAAGATCAGTCAATGAACAAACAACAAACCTTGGACGGGGCTGGCGAGCCGTACAGCGACTAAGGTGATGGTCGTTATGGTGACAGCCGACTGGTGCGCCGGCGGCCGTGGCGGCGGGGGCGAGGTGGGTGCGGCGGCGCGCGCGGCCACTGGGCCCTGCGGCTATCGATCGCGCGCGGCCAGCGGACCATCGAAACTGGAATGCTCGACGGCGCCGCGACGCCGGCCGCGCGCTTGCGAGGTGTGACGGGGCGCCCGTTTGTGCTGGCGCGCAATTAGCGCAATGGGTGGGAGGCCTCCTCTGTTGTGGTTAGTAAGCTCCATAGAACGAGTAAGTATTAGCAAGTTGTCGTAGTGTTCAGAAAAGTACTTGCTGTCATACTGGAGCTAAGTTCCAAATGCGAACGATGCTTGTAAACTCATAAGTCCACCTCCTCGCATATTTGTGTTGCAGCCGTTAAAGCGTCATTGTCCATTAGTGAGCAGCTAGTTGTTCATTAACCTGGAATGGAAGAGATCTATCTGGTATAGACATTTTTTTATGACTCTACTTTCCGCTGTGTGATTGCTTTCATTGTCTGGGAAGAGGTAAATTTTATGACACATTGTGTTCTCATGAAACGATTCAGCTCGTACGTCGTATAACTTAAGCTAGAGATTAATTAGATTACAGTAGTGCTTGGATATTTGAAAAACTTCGGACCACTGGTGTCTGTGGTGGTGATCGAACCTTACGCTTTGAGAAGGATAACGTGTTCACTACCACGCTATACGTGTCCTTCGTTTAGCCTTTCTCTCAACCGTGTTTCATAGGCACTATCAGCGCAGGCGCATCGTCTAGGGATTTTTGTTTGGTGCTCTATAAATACTGTATAAATTTTGTTTTTTTAGGTTTCGTGGGATACATATTAACTGGAGGAATTGTTGAATTTATCATCCTATTACTAGCTTTTATAAAGTGAAATTCAGTGAGGAGCCCAGTGCGCCTCTACTCAAGTATCGAGAATTTTTTAGTTTAAAAGTAGTTAGGCTGTCTAAGCTGTCTACACCAAGGGTATTTATTCTAATGTAATTATATCTGGTAACTAGCGTCTATTCATTGTTGAAGTGGGTACTGCAACAGTTTTACTTTCTTACATTACTCTTCGTTAGGAATTTATCCCATACCACAAATGCTTGTTACAGTAACTTTGCCTTCGAGGTGACCAAGGAATGCTTGTCCCAGCAAAGGCTTCGTTCTTACGTGGACGCATTCACTTACCCGTCTTCTGGGCTGCAGATCGCGCTGGTTTGTGGTTCATATTCTTCCTGGTGATCTCAGCACCATGTGTTTGTTTGCAGGAATGGGAAAGGTTGGAGCTGAGTGAAGTTGGTGTGGTAGAGGTTCCGATCGTACTGTCACCGCCGCTCCAATCGGCTCTGTTCACACTTTCCAGCCGCTTTGGCGATGCTTCTGTCGCACACCTGCTGACTCGATCTGTTCGAAAACGACTCGCAACCCAAGTATGTCCCCGGTTAATTCTCCAGTTACTACTACTATCACCTGCTACCGTAGCAACAAAACCATCAAGGTTATCAGGCATGGAAAGTAGATTAAAACGTCGTTTCTTTGTATTGTTAGTTTTCTTTACCTCTTTTGTTTTACTGGCAGTTGACACTGACTAACCTAGATTGCTGAGCTTCTCGCTGCTACTATACAAGAAGTCATTGACAGAGCGGACAGTGTGCAACGAACCTGGATCCAGTTGCTGTTCGATTGTCTGGTCCTAAACACTATGTTCACTGATGAGAAGTATGCTTCCGTATTTTTTTATTCATTGCTTCAAAATGCATGTGGAAAAGGATAAAATTGCGAGAAATTCGTAAGTTATTTTTAGAAGAACTCTGTTGTGAACAGCTTTCTTGTCCTACCATTTGCTCATTCTGGGAATTTCCTCGTCAAGTGTCTTTAATTGAAGATATGGGTCACTCAAATACCACCAAAATTCGTAATCCACTGTGTTCTGTCTCCTTTTCACTTTAGTTGTTGTCGAGAGATTTGTCCGTTTCGCTAACGTCATTATTTATCAGTTTGGAGATTGAAAATTCACATAGATGTGCTTTCCGTTTCGGTTTTGAAATCAATTCCGGAAATATAACCATAATGATGCTTAGATATTTCCAAAACTCCGAGCCGTTGTTGTGTGTGGTGGAGATCGAACGCGCTATTACCCTTTTCGAGCTTTAACGCGTTCACCACCGTATCATGCGTATCCTTTGTTTCGCCTTCTCCATTCGGGGAGTTTGCTGACAGTCTCATCTATGGGGGATAAAACACTAGCATTTTTATTGGATAACGGTACAAGTCATTATATAAATTCACATTTATTCCAGCAGACTTTTATAAACCAATAGGATAGTAATAATATTCATGAACTTGGTTCCTCCATTTCCAGTGAAATTTCCTAGAAAGTAGAACTATTGCAGACGGAGGAGATAGTTATAAGAACTTTGCTGTCCACATCTATCACTTTTTCTCGCAGCATTATTCTCTAATTGCTCAGTGTTCCGATTTGAACTCTTAAGTTTGAGGAAATGGGGAAATCGTTTGAAATTCATAAAAAATCTGAAACAACTGGTCTTAGGTTATAGGTTCTTTCCACTTTACTAACTCTGGTTGGTGTTTCATTGAAACATGACTTGAGTTAGGTATTGTCCATCATGCCATAGTCATTAAGCACCATCATTAATACCAGATGAAAATGTGTTCAAATAGTTCAGGCTAAAAAATCTGATTCCACAAATAGAGAGCCGAATTGATCCGTTCGATCTAAGTCTCCTTTCCACGCATCTTAGAAAGAATGTGCGGCTGAGTATCTCCAAATCACTGGTGAGTTACTGGAAACTACGTTTTTTGATCATAATTTTTTGGATTCTAGGTCTTAATTTTCTAGCACTTGATATTTCCACATCTTTGTTTTGTGGAATAAATGTACGACTACTGCGTGGCTTTTAGACAGTCGCCTATAGTTCCGTCACACTATATTCTAGTAGTTTATATATTTATATATATGATGTACATATATATGTATACTTACGTACCTATGTATATACATACGTACCTATATATATACATACATATACACGTATATGTGTGTACATGTGTATATATATGTGCATACATATGTACATTCCTTTTACTCTTGTCAGTTCAAGTTCTTAACTCTTCAACGATCCAAAGATTATCGGCAGTTATTGAGAACCAACATCAGGCGCACTGAAAAGTAGAGAGTTTAAATTGTTTTCAACTTTATATAAGTGGTACTTGGTAAGTACTATTGTAAATGAGTTTTCAATCTTGCAGTAATTCTTATTGGTAATGAGCTTTCCTATCAAGTCATAACTTGTTTGAATGAATAGAATAATTGATCAGAGAAAGAATCAGTTCGGTAGTACATTATTAGTAGTGGTCGACTTGGTGGTGTTGGTCAACGCCTAGGATAATACTATTGTTTTTAATGGTAGTTAGGAAGTGGAAGTAAGGTCGTATTTAAGAGCTGTCCTGTTCTAATCATGAACTTGTCATAGTACTGTTTTTAATACATGTGCGACGACGCTGTTTTTCTTCACACGCGGTATGAGTCAGACCTGACTCGTAGTAGTCAGAGCCTTGACCTCACTTCATCAAGTACACTTCTTATTAGCAGCGGTTTCCTCATTCAATGCAGAAGACAATCGCCGTAGTACTCGTGTCCTTGTAATTACGGGTCGGAGAATTCCTAGAATCCCGTCCATCTGTGTTATTCGCTCCAACGCAAATATTTCAGTATCCTATTCATTTCAAATAATATATCTCCACAGATTTTAATACGACAAATTTGACTTTACTGAATAAAATAGCTCTGACGAAGAAGCTCTTAATGGCGAAAGAAATAACTGGAAAGGAAGTAAATATGCTGCATACCGGGACTTGTGTTGTAATGTAATGGGGTCGGCAATGCTCGTCTTCTAATTTCGCACGTTTCTTTGTCGACAAACAGCAACTTGAAATAGTTTTTCCAGCTGCTGTACTCATCTTTGCTCGTCGACTTCTCACATAACAAGGAAAGTCAAGATTCTGCACACCAATCACAGGTTTGTTTCAGTGATTAGGGTCAAGAATTATGAAAAAATCCTTTGCGGCCCTGCTCTGGTGTATGATTCATTTCGATCACGATTGACTTTGCCTTTTTGGTTTTCTGTCAGAGTTTGTGAAGTGAATGATTTAATTGAAATAATCTAACTTTCGACATAACTTTCTTTTTCATCTTTTCCACTACGAAATCTTTCCATCTCCTGTGAGAGCTTTTTTTTACTCCACCGTCATGAAAGCTCTCATGTACCAATAGATGTAGCTCGTGTCATACCTACACTCTTGCGCAAATATTTGTTTAATATCCTACTATGTCCTTCGATTCTTTTTTGTATTATGCATATATTTCTAATATCTGGTGTTGATTGTCTAGGATAGTCGAACAATTGTTGTTATCCCTTGAACATTCCATCGTACACTACATCACATAGTACCATTCTAGTCCTTATGAATGCTTTTACCATGCATTACCTAGAAGTGCAAGGTGATTTATCTGACTAGGACTTGTTGTCACTTAATCTCAAAGTTCTCAAATTCCCTCAGAATTTCAAACATTGATGTGCTCAAAATGTTGGTGTGTAAATTTGACTACACATCCATATTAAACATTCATCATTATCATGTTCCTTACTGTGACGCTGTATTTCACTATAGGTTGTGGATGTGACGCCTAAGTCCGACTATCCACCACGTATCTCTCTCATACCTCGACTGGGCCGTATGGTAAGTTATACAGAATTTTTGTAAGAGAGTTACCTTTGTATTCAACCTTCACACTGCCTACTTGAACTATGTTGTCTTGCAAGTGATTTATCAACTTTCACGCCGCTACCATAGTTGCGTTCAGTTCAACATATTCACGTGAAGGCCTAATTTTTTCACTCGGTGGTGTATCTTAACTCGGCGCATACGATCGATCATGCCACACTCTGAAAAAGTGGGTATAAAGTACGGTCTTTGGCGGGGTTAACAACCTAGTCCGGAATTTTCTTTTCGTGAATTATAAAGTGTGCAGAACAGCTTTTCTTGGTATACGCTTAGTACTAGATTTTTGACGGGGAAGCTGTCGTTTAATCACAAAAAGTGGAAAGAAAAACTTGCGGCAACTAGAAAACCAAGATGGTAATGTATTTCTTGACTTCCGTTTTTGATGTGCTTTCCCTAAAATAACCTAATTAATCGCTCCAGCCTGCGGATACTGTTACAAAACGCGTGGAGAGTACAAAATTACTACCTAACAAGCTGCTGGCTAACACGAATACTGCTGGTAAGTCGATTTTTTATCGGGTTAGGAGGGGAATTGTTATGTGACAATGGCCGTTTGGTTCGCGCAACCAAGGAAACAGTTTCCCTGGAGTGTATTGTTAGAAGGTTGGCATGTTGACAACAGATTTATATTTTTAATTTATGAAAGTAGCGTGAAGGGTGCCTCTGTTCCGCCGAGTGTATGGGCACTACATACTTCTTTGACTAAATAGTCGGAGACAATAGTGAATGGTTGTACCTGAATATTTGGATACTTGGTCAATTGAATAAGTCATGTTTACAAATCACGAATTATCATGCATCCCCTGGCACAATTTCTATTTCACTGGACTTGATGGTTGGATAATATTTTTTTTCCTAGGCGTTTCGAAAACCGTGCTACTGTTTAGATAAGTGGTCATCGCTGGCTTAAACTAGTTGATTACATTGTTGTTAAAACAAAAGTGTTTCGCGCCATTGATTTACTCCTAGCTTGCTTCGGATGGGAATGCAAAGTTGTCAGCTTGAGAAAACCTGTTGGGTACGAACCGGGCTAAAAAGCGCATTTTGGCATTTATGAACTTCCAACCATGACGATATGGTAAATTATTGAGCACTTTTAAGACCAGTGGCAAGTATATTTGGAATTTCTCTGTTTATTTCTCAGTTAGGTTTTTGTTAGCCTGCTGGCCATAATCATTATCAGTAACACACCAAGGAAGAATAGTCGATGAGACTTCATGCAATCTGTCGTGATAAAGTGGAACAACAAAAACTCTTCAATCACTGGAAAGAATTTTGCGAAGTATAAATTCTCATGCTATCCTGGATTGTTATTGCTAACACGAGGTTGATTAAAGGATTTATTCGGCTGACGGTTCTACGTCCTCTTCATCAGAGCCGATGATCCTAGTCTTCACAGTTGTTCGTCTTCCCGATGTGGGGTCTTTGTTTTCGTACTGAGACTGATTTTCTTCATTGGAGCACCGCTCGAATGAGACAAGCCTACACAACAGAGCTCTCCTATGCAGGACGATCGTTGTTGATAATAACTACTCGTTTAAAATAATTTGTTTTTCAACGGATAATCCATTCTGCATCAGTCGGTATTATGTTGGCTATCACATAGCGAGTAGCAAAACAAGCGTCCTCCATGCTATATAAAACAACGTTGCCGGGTGAGGATGTCTCATTCTAGCGGTGTTCCCTCCACTGGATTCAACTCGATGCGACAACACACCACATCGAAATGAAAAACAACTGTTAACCATCAACTTGGATCATCGACTCTGAGAAAGACGAAGATTTG